CTCAATGTTCTCTCTCTCTGCCTCTCCGAGAGACAGCGAATGCTGTGCGGTGGCGGTGGTGGCGCATTGCAAGTTCAAATCACCATCGTTATTTTGAGTCCCTTACGAGAGGGTGTGTACCTCGGAGGGAGCCGTCATGCTGTGATGGTCAGCAGCACTGGACTTCCAGACAGAGGTTGCAATCCAGACAGAGTCGCTGGTTCGACTCCATCTCCCTGCGCTGCAGCTGAAATTAACTAAACTAAACTATTTGTGTTTTACCAGCTAAGGCCCACTGAGATGTGTAGCTCTTTTTCAGAAGCGACCTGGCCACAAATGATAGCTCAATGAAGTGGCTTATCGCGTGGAAATGTATTGCAGCCAAAGGCTCGACACGCATGTTTTCTAAACGTGGATGGGAAAAACCGGAGGGCCCGAATCAAAATCCACGCGACCACGGGGAGAACATGCAAACTCAAAATATACCGGTGTCAGGGTTGGGATGGAACACACGACCACCTATATACCACGTGAGAGGCAGTTAACATCTCGCCACCGTGGCAGTAACACGCGGCAGTGTCAAATGGACACAACTGCAGTCAGCTGATTAGCAGGTCGCTTGCAGTGGGGTAAAACAGTGGGTACGCGACTCTTGAGACGTCCGGCTCGCCATCGAAGAGTATGCCAAACAAACCGCTAAAATCTACCCTCTGGTGAAGGCCCTTCTCGTCTGCAGTGGCACGAGCGAGAAAGCGACGAGTTGCAGGTCTGCTCCATTTTACCTCGGGGAGAAAGAGGGGGGGGGACGGGCCTTTGGGGGTAAATTCAAGTTGAACTAAATATTTCACGACACCCTCTGCGTTACCTCTCACCAAGCATCGCGTGCGGCAACAAAAGCACTGGGGCCTCCAAGCCTGCGACGCTCACTCCAAATATTCGCGCTCCGAATGCAGTAATAGGAATGTTTTAGTGCTTCCATCTTTAATTAATTATCGACTTCTGTGTTAATACACCGATAACTTAGTAAGGCTGTTAAATAAATTAATGGTAACTTTAAGGATCGAATCAATTTGGATGTGTCTTCAAGTATAAATAAGAAGAGAATTGGATTTTGTTGTTGTTGTTGTTGTGCAAATAAGTGCCGTGCTTTACATTCCAAATGAGGCAGCTTATTTTTTTTAATAACTGCGCTTTGATTCGCCTGACGTGGAGCTCGTGTCAGCCTCACCTGCGGCAAACATGATGGGATGTTAACGAGACCAATGTCTCGACACCCTGACATATTTATGTAAAGGGACGCGGTAAATTTCACCGTTTGCTTGCATACATGAATTAATACTAAGCACTTTGGGGAAGCATTCTGGACACAATAATCTGTAGCTGGAGGCTAGAGAGGCCTTGATGAAGTACAAATCCTTCCTTAGTTAAAACAGGCCATAGCGGAGGGCCCCCTGCTGTGCTCTGTAATTGTGAAGATCTGTCTAAGTGACAGATAATTAAAAAGGAAATAAGCAAACTCAATGAGGAAAAATAGATTTGCATGAATCACGTTTGATTACAAGCGAGGCAAAGTGGATTTTTATAAATTTTCTGTCTTACTCCGAGTGCCATGGGAATTCCGCTGCCATGTCGACACCATCATGGGTGCGCTTTAAAAAATAATATTTATTGCACACTGCCCCTTCGGAAGGCAACGTGGTCATTCTTTACCAAGTAATATTATTTATTGTGTACTGCCCTATCAATAAGCAACCAGGGTATGCTTAAAATACACGTTATTTATTGCTTGCTGCCCTATCTATAACCGACACAGGCACACCTTTAAAAGTAATGTTATGTATTGCTTGCTTTGCTGTCCATCACCAACTTGGGTATACTTGGGTATCATTTTTTTCCTTGTTATTTATTGAGAGCTGTAGGCTGCACTATCGAGAGCCAAGACCTTCGCAGAATGGATTAGTGGATGTCTCCAGCTAAATATCTAAATATTGAGCAGGATACTTAACTCACAAAGCTGATGCATTTAATGGTAAGGCTTTCAAAACAGATATTGGTGATTTCTTTTGTTCCCTTAGACTGTATTGCTCCAGAACAATCCAATGATTCCTTTTGAAGACTGAAAAAAGTACAAATTCTTCCCCCTTTTTTTGGTATCTGCTAGTATTTCTGCGTGTGATTTCAGATGCTCTTACCCAAAGTGACTGGGCGCATCTAATTTTGGAGTTAGCCGCCACTGCAAGCGGAGTGATGTCACCACCGATCTGCTCATCCAAGTGCGAGAAGGGCCGTGGTGTGCGAGCGCTTGTACCCGTGCTCACCGCCAGCCAGTACGCAACCACGCTCGGTTGCTTTTCATCACCGCGCCGGGTAAACCATTGGAAAAAAAAATCGCATCTTAATTTTAAACTGCCTCAACGTTTGAATTCTAATGAACACCCCCCCCCCCCCCGCAATCGACGCTTCATTAAGCATCAGTTTGCAAACAATCCGTCCTTGAGGCGGTGGCATGCCCAGGCCACAATCCACGCTACGGCCATGCCTGCACTTGTACCCGCTCACCCACACGCCCGTCCACCCGTCCACGACCACCCGCTTCTCACATTATGGGATGCCACACACTTGAATGGACATTGTGTACCTCCGGACAGCACCGCATCATCGCGAGGATTTGTCTCCCGCGCACCCGGTCTCGTGATGTCGCGAATAATCACGTCTGCAAGATCACATTGTAATGTGTGAAGCGCAAAAGCCGCTGCGCGAAAGTAACAAAAAGTTGACGAGTCCCCGTTCTGCGCCACTCGCATAGGTCCGACGAAAATGTGCGTGTGTCCGTGTCACAATTGCCAACGACTGCCGCACGAGCGTGCATAATGATTTACCGTCGGGTCAAAGCAGTGCACGTGTTTTTGTTCGTAGATTGGCTGGCGAGAAAGCGCGATTAAATATGACCACTTCGCAGCGTAAGTGCTCCGGCAAGACAGCTTGCAACGCAGTGAACTGCCGTTGGCCGCAAGCTCAACATAGCGTGCGTGAACTTTGCATGCATAGCCCCCTCTTATCGATCCGATAGCTGACGAGGGCCTTCTCCACGCCCTCGTGCAGTGTGGAGGTTGTTTGATCATACTGCACCAGGCTGGTGAGTGCCGGTTTGGCGAGATCAGGGAGCACTGACGTGGGAGCATAGTACATCACAACAAGTGATTGTTTTTTTTCCCGCACTGCCCTCTGCTGTCCACAATGTAGGCCTATGACAACCTGTTTGCGCATGGCGGTCACAAATCCAAACGCTACCCAGCGTCTGAGATGTGCAATAAGATCGGGCGTATTCGGGGGGGGGGGGGGTGTTTTTGTTAAAGGCAAAGACAAAAACACGTACACCACGCAGCAATATACACTGTATACACAGGACCACGGCTTGTGGGAAATCTTTTTGTATAACATTTGTTGTAGTAACACGTCTAATATCATACACCTTGAAGGCCGTGAATTTAATTAGGACAGGCTAACCTAATATTTGCTTTTCATAAAGCAACCTTTAACTTAGAGCTTTTAAAATAACTCGCTGTGTGCTTGGGAGACACGTGGCAGCCGAGGCACTCACCAAATTTGACTCCACATTTTTTTAGTGACAGAAAATTTGAAATATAATTTATTTTCAGTCGACTACGACGGCGATAGGCAAATGAATAAATGAAAACGAATAGACACGACACGTTCACCGTCGAATTTAAGACGGTTTCACATCAACGTGCTTTCATGACACGGGTGGGGGGTGGGGGTAAAAACTATTGCAAACAAACTTTGGCGAAGAAACACATTTCGAATTTCACTTTCGAACGTAAATATCCGCATTTGCAACGGCGCACATGCACGTGGATTGTTGCAGTTGCATTATAAAAACCACAGCAAACGGCCGACCCCGCTGCTCGTTATTAGGAAGCTGCAATTCTACAGGGCCCCTTAAAGCTAGGATTTCTTGATATTGGAAATGCAGTATCACGGTAAATATAAAAGAGAGACTGCACAAGTTGTATCTGCAGCGACATTAAACATACGCGCGCAGTCGCACACACGTGTGTGTGTGTGTGTGCGATTTCCCACCCACAAGGCACTCGTAAAAAGCCAAGGAAACTGATATAAACAAATCAATGCGTCACTCGTCTGTGCGCATCCTACAGTCAAGGCGTCCAAATGTAGGTGTCCAAGTTTTGGGGTCACACGACCTACACATGTGCATTACTGCCCCGGCGAGAAGAAAAATTGTATTAATAAAGTGTGCACGGCCAAGGAATGCCTAACGCCTACATTCTATTCTGTTAGATTACGACTGGAGTGCCGGACAAATTAGAACATAAGATTAAATTTACTTGCACTAAAATACAGTCGCTCTGCAGCTCCACGCGGCACTTGCAATGCCGCGCTCCCATCTTTATGCGACGCGGGAGTCAAATAAATCAGAAGTATCTTTGCATGGCAAAGTAAAATGTACAGTTATTAGGCTCTCATATAATCAGCTCTTTCAGCTCAAACATTTCACGGTGTCACCGGTGACTAAAGCACATGCGGACGGGTTGTAAAGTTTGTTCATGACTCTCTCGTTCGCTCGCTCGCTCGCGCACGCGAAGCGCGCCAGCGCGCCACCACGGACGAGGCGACGCGTGCACGATGGTGCGATATACACCGGGGGCCTCCACAGCCCCCCACTGCAGATTTAAGCATCGTACCTTCACGTGCATTTTTACGCCCCCCCCCCCCCCCCGCCGCCGCCAGCCCGTCACCTTTACGAGCCTGGGCGTAAATTTGAACAACGCCGTGTCCTTAACCCCTCGTCGTTTGCTACCGAACCAGCAGCGGAGCGTAAACCTCCACGGCACCGCATTTGCTCGGGGATTCTCTGCGGCTGGCGATCCCCATGTCCCACGCGCACGCAACACGCCCCGGCACAATCGAGCGCACACGCCCGTCCGCACGGCCGTAAACCAAAGCAGGCAACAATGAAGTGAACGAGATCAGGTACCTACCCAAACATACATCATCATCCTGAAGACGCGTTTCACTCACGGGCGGGCAGAGGAATCTGAGTGCAGATGGGATATAATTACGGACAAATGAAAATAAAATAAAAAACAGCTCTGGCTTCGAAGCTCTGTTGCTAAATTACTCCCGCTTTTCTGTTGCCTCAACTTGGCTCTGGTCTGAATGGACTTGCAAATTCTTGTCGCTGCAGTGCCTGGTTTGCCGGCTTGCCCAAACGGCGCGTGCACTGCCTTGCTGCAGGCTGTTACAACTCTGCCGAGCCTGTTTGTGCGGAATCCTTAGTCACACGCTCCCTCGCCAGCCTCCTGCGCATGCAAGGGGCTGCTGTACAGTGCAAGTCGTGTGGGCGCGCGTGTGCGCGCGCGTTGCTACGATGTCCGCGACGATTCGGAGCCATCCACGGAAAGAGTTGCGTACAATTAACTCAAAGGTCGTCCACACGTTGCCAAACGCGCTCCGGGACCCGAGTAAAATAACTCGCAGGCAAGGTGCATTTTTTTAACCGTGCCGCCCGTCAAACGATACCCTTTCCAAAAAACAAAATGTTTTACTCGCATTTATTGCATTTTGTTATTTAATAGCGAATGCAAGAATCGACTTGCATGATTGTGAGTGGAGCAAAATGATGAAGAGGTTGAACGGGGCGAAGGGTGGCGGTGGCAGGCCGGGTGGCGGGGGTGATGGAACTTAATGACTCCAGAAAGGGTCCAAAATATTAGCAGAGCGGTTTGGCGCAGCAGCAGCAGCAGCAATAAAACCCTGCGCTCGTTCGCTGGCTGGCTGGCTAGCCAGGGGGATGCAAGGAGCCCCTGGGGATGCGGACCGGGTGCACGTCGGCCAGGGAGGGGACGCAGCGCGCTCTCCCTGCCCTGCTCAGGGATGCCGTGCGGGTGCCGTGGGGTCGGAGGGCCTGGCCGACGACAGTGGCAAGGGGCAGTTTTTTTTCTTTGGCGACGTTTGGTTTTTTGGGGGGCGAGATTCGATTGGGGAGGAGTGGATAGGCTGTGAGCGGAGTTGGTGTGTGTGTGGGGGGAGGGAGGTGATATCTGCATTTGTTGCAAACGAGCTGCAACGTGCAAACGCCAACCGCGTTGCCAAACAAATGAACGGCCCGAGAGCAGAGAAATGCGTAATGGAATTCGTGGAACTGACGTCAATGGGACACTTCAGGCAAACTCTAATTATCTGCATTCTCCGGGCTGATTTATGTCGCTGCGAACGATATATCGACGCGATACGACGCTTGTCTGCGTCGGCGCGGGAGCATCGGAGCAACGTGGGCCCCGTGAAGGTGCGATGACTTCAGCGATATGTGCTCAGCGGGGTGTATTCTGTACTCAGATGTGTAAGCGCCACAGATATGAGAGAGTGTGTGCCTGATTCGAGGTGTTAAATCTGCACAGATAGGAACACAGTCGCCCACGGATATGGGAGTCACACAGACGCGCGCAAGCTCGACTTTGAAAAAGTACCGAGTGCAATTCGTCAACACGCAAGCCCTGTGCACACGGGGAGCCCTGCAGCCTTGAGTCAGTTGGTCCGGGGGAGAGGAATTCCCAGTTGTATAATGGTTAAAAGCATGAGTGGGCTTCCACGGAACGCCCTATTTTGTGGCTTGCGGTATAGCGTTTACTAGACACGTGTGGGTGTTGTTGCTGCTGCTGCTGCCGATCATTGTAGGTAGTGCCCAGAGCGAGCTAAGCAGTGCAACGCGGGGCCAAGCAGCCGTACACACACACAGAGAGTCTGAGATTAGACTTAAGCAGCCCACATTGCACACAGCAAGAGGGGGAGGAGGAGGGGGGGAGAACACCAACAATATAATTACATTTTCTGACTTTTGCTGAAATGCACATTCTTGCACAGAAGTAATGTCTTAACTTATATATACAAACACACACACAGCAAGTTTGACATACAAAGCTTTTGGAAATAAAAAAAAAGTAGAATCTTGTTTCCTTTATATATGAAATCTATAAGAAATGTTAAAACGTCCCTTTTTTCCAGTCTAGTCCACACGCTCCAGGCACAGTGCGAATACGAAGCTCACTCTATTGATTCAATATTAGCGCGCGTGGTGATAATTAACATGGGCGGCACGGAGCAAGCTGCTGCTCCACCTGAACTGACAAAGAACATTTATTTAATTGATTACACTCCGGATACTTAATGCCAACAAGTTTGGCTTGGGGTGAGCGTGCGGGGGTTACTGGCTATGCGCTGACGGGACAGGGACAGCTGATCGCACAAGGATGCTCAGTGGGCGATTGCCCCCCGCCGTCACCACAAAGGGCATCAGCGTTACCCTAAACTCCTCTTCACTTTCGCTGCCGAAAACGAAATGAACACGGCCTGTCTTCCGAGCGCAGACACCAAGCAGGGGAGGGGCGGGGGGGCGAGGTTCGTTAACTCCTTCCCGGTTCCAGTAGCGAGCGTGCATATAGTACAGGGTGTCGCTCATTCGTCCACGGGCTAACACAATGGCAGTGCCACGCTTGTCCTGCTTCCGTCAAGGACCATTTGTTCCGCTGCGTTAGTATGCACGGCATTGTTTCGACGAAAACAAGTAAAGCTTGCCACTTCTAAGAATCTACAACGACAAACAAACCCGCAAGGAATCCGAAACCGCTCTGCCCTTCCGCGGGCGCTCACCACCAAAAGCACTCGGCCGTTTGCAAGCGCTGTTTCCACATCTCGCGTGTGCGGTTTAAATCCGGCACCAAATAACATTAATTGTTTTGTTGGTCCGCTTCTTCTTTTTATTCTTCTGCTTCTTCTGCCCGTGGCGAGACAGGGCGTTTTACAAAATATCTTCCCCAGTCTAGCCGTGGCTCAGGAGAAGAAATGTCCCATTCACAACCCAATCACTCCCTCGGCTGTGTCCTATTTCTCAATCAATAAAAGGCGTCCTTGATTTTACTACTCGTCTACAAGCAAATAAATAAAGAAAACGGTCCTTCAAGATAGTGGAAAATTAATCAGAAAGTGTATTTCCTTGGTTTCGGACCAGTTTCTAACTGCATCAGATCTATAAAAATGATCTTCCATATGCAGTATTTGAAAATTGCAATTCCACGTGATCTATGGCTCGACTTCAAGCTGCAGTATATAATTCTTTATTTGAGGAAAATACAACAGAGCGTTAGATGTCTGCATGGCACATGGGAATGATCTATAAGTACTTGGCTGCTTCGGGTAGAATATGGAATAAATTCTTCATCTGCAAGAAAGACATTTCAATATTGTTTTTTTTTTTTTGCAAATATCTTTGGCCCATAATGTTCAATATATCAAAGTCACTGTGGATTTAACAGCACCTTGCCTTTGATGCTCTCTACTTCACAGGGTGCCAACGGAGCACCGGTGGTGGGTCGTCGTCTTCTTCTTCTTATCATCATTAACGCATAACCTCGCGGACGCAATCTCTTTCTTGTTGTTTTTAATAAGGAAGACAAAAATTACGCGCGGCGTTTTTTCATCCCTCCCAGAACGTCCTTTTTTTCGTCGGAGTGAGTGGGTGTGTGGAGGGGGGGGGGTATAAGGTGTGGGAAAACAGCACCACTGTGTGACTAACGAAACGGCACCATCACCGTTGGACTAACGAAACGGTACGACTACGGGACTAATGGAAAGGCACCAGTGTGGGACTAACGAAACGGCGCCAGTGTGGGACTAACGAAACGCCGACGAGCCTGCTCTTCCAGGGAATACTAAATCATGCCTTTAACAAATATAACGCTGAAGATGTCAGCAAGCTATAAATGTACAGCTCTGTACATCTTTACTTTATAGACTCAGCTGGACGATCGGGTCCCTCCCTCACCACCACCACCACCATCAACCACCCCCTGATACCCCACCCACGAGCCATCCTTCTCAGAGACAGCCACCCCTGCTCTCTCTCGCCCTCTCCCTCCCTGCACCTCTCCCATCTCTCCCTTTTTTTTTGCTTCCCATGCAAAAAGATCACCCCCAAGCCTACCTTCTCATTTAGCAGCGGGCAGGTGCAGACATTTATCTGGGACTAAATTATCACAGCCGGCTGCTCTGCTCACTCCACGGGGCAAAAGCAGAAGCCAAGCAGTTAATCCTGTGCCATTGGGCCAGGAGGCGTCAAAATCCACCGTTCAGCACTTACGCATGCCACTCTCCCTCAGGGCAGTGCTATTGGTGAGGAGCAGGGGCTGGAGGTGGGGGCTAAGGGAGAGGAGGAGGAGGGGGAGCGAGGGAACGGGGGGAGCAGGCACCTCGTGCCGGCTCGAATGCCTAACTTTGCAAGGGCCGACAAGAATTTGGACTATAATTCACGTCAGCCACCGAGAGTAGTGCTGCGAGCTTGGGAAAATAATATCTCTATATGCAGCGGCAGCCTTAGGGTTTGTGGAGGCCCCCAGTAGGACACTACCATTGGGCTTCCTGGCCACTGCGTATATATTTATGCTACAAGTGCTGCTTCAGCAACTCTAGTAAATTAAAAATTGGTAAATGAATTGCCTATTGGTTAATGCATGTCTATAAATTACTTGCTGCGTTCCCAACCCCCATCTCAGCCATTGGGTCCCCTATGGGCGCACGTTTTTTCCTCGTTGTTTAGACCGTCCCTGTTTATAATAGAATCCAGCGTGGTGGTGTGGTGTAGAGGGAGCAGATTAACATTGTTTTACATAATACTACAAAGCGTGTTATTAAGTAAAACCTCAACGGGTGTCATTTTAACCATCAGTTGCAAAGACTATCACAGCTGCCAGATGAACCCCAGGTGATACTACCGATATATAATCTTCAGAGACCACAGTCTCTGAGTCACATCAAAAGGAACGCTATTATTTAAACCAAAAATCGCATTGCATAGTCTCGCTAGAATTTCGAATTAAATGCTTACCGTAGCAGTGGTGGGCAATGTTAAGGAAGTGCTCTGCTCTCACCGCACGAACATATAAAGGTTCATCCTGCTGAAATTAACACGGGTGTTGTGTTATTTGAATTACGTCGTGCGAGCCCACCCGCCCACCGCCCTCCCCCCCCCCGGAAAAAAATATGTAATTTTGCCCACAGAGCCGAACAGTGTTTCCCCTTGTTAACGTAGTTATTCCCAAATGAATACCACCACACTAATATCGTCACTATCACGTGCGATGTGCACTTTGTTTTTTTTTTGCTGCGCTACAATCGAGAGAGGAAAAGGTTTTACGCTCCACGCGTAAAAAAAAAAA